CTCAAGCAATAATCCTCCTGCCTCAGCCTCCCAGAGTAGTAGGATTACAAGTGTGAGCCACCATGCCTGGTCCTGGTACAACTTTTTAAGAAAGTAACCTAGCATCGTGTACCAAAATGTTAAAAGACTTCAAACCTCAAAGGACTTCAAACTCTAACAACTGAGCTTCTAAAAATATATTCTAATAAAATAATATGAAACACAGATAAAAGTTTCATGTTTAAAGATGTCAAACACAGCATATTTATAATAGTAGAAACCTAGGGAGGAAAATGTCCAAAAACAGGATAATGATTAAATGAATGTTAACATATTCATAAGAACATTATTCATCCATTATAAATGTTTACAAAGAATTTTATAACTCTGAATACAATAAGTGAAAACAGTGGAATCAAGTATTTTATACTCAGCATCTTTTCAACTGTGTAAAAAAACCCTTAAATTTTCATACATAATGTAAGAAGGAATGTCATTGCCAGGAAGTTGGTTTCTACTTTATCTTTTTAGTACTCTGAACAAAACCCAAATCGTTAAATCTTTTTTTAAAAATTTAATTAATTTACATAAACAGGACAGAGTTGCTGCAGTAAGGAAAAGTAAAAATATGGTAAATGAGTAGAGAAAGAGAAATTTAAAAAAGTGTTTTGGGGCAGGAAGGACAAAAAGTAAATGATGAAAAGATTTAAGAGATAAGAAAGGACAAAAACTTGTGCTGTTCAAGAAATTTTGCTTTCCAGAGCCCCAAAGATATTGACTCCAGGATTAACAATAAATACTAAAGCACATTAATGTATTTTATATAGCGTCAGGATGCAAAATATGCTTGGAAATCATACTTTCAGGAAAATCACCTTAACAAAACACAAAGAAAGACAGTTCATGAGCAATAACTCAGTTAATGATGCCATTGGCCTTGTCATTCAACCTTTATTGTCCAGAGTAACTTGCTGACAAATTATTCTTTGACTTGAACAAAATTCAACACATGTTTATTGAGAACTTACAATGGGCCAGGCACTAATTTAGATGCTCACAACACATCAGTGAATAAAAGATCCCTATTGGCAGGGAGCTTACACTCTTACAGAGAAGTAGTAGAGGAAGAGAAATAATAAAAATATGCATAATAAGTAAATGAACAGGATGAAAAAAAATCAAGAGTGCAGGGTGGAAGTAAAGTACAGCAGTGTTAAATAGGGTGGCTGGAGTAGGCCTCATGGAGGTAACATGAAGCAAAGACTTATAGGAGGTAAGTTATTCACCAGGCAATGGCTAGATGCTAAACATTCTGAAAAAATAGCTAATGCCAAAGGCCCACAGGTGGGAGAATCCCAGCTTGTTAGAGGACCTGTAAGAAGGGCAGTGTGGCTGAAGCAAAGTAAGCCAGGGGGAGAAGAGTAGTGAATGAAATCAGAGAGAGGCTTCTCTGACATCATTCAGAGTAGTCAATGAAGTCAGAGAAGCCTCTCTAAGGGGTGGGAGGAGAGGTCCACACAGGAAAGGCTTGAAAATACTGTGGCTTTTACCGAGTGAAATGGAAAGCCAGTGGAACAGAGAGTGAGTGAGTGAGTGAGTGAGTGAGTGAGTGAGTGAGTGAGTGAGTGTGTGTGTGTTTTGAAAGGGGACAGGGAGGCTAGAGGAACAAGAAAGACCACTGAGGAGTTTCAAGACTTTCTGGACTATCTTCCTTTCCATGTTTAAAAAGAAGTTTTATCTACAAGGAATATTCAGGTCCATGGTTGCAGAGAGGTTTTTTCTTTTCCAATGAGGAATCTTGAAGAATGTGTCCAGGGCCTACAATTGTGTCCTTAGCAGGCATCTCAAAAATAATGATTACTAAACATTTCCCTCTGCTCATTGCCCTGACATGAGTTCTGGGCATCACCCTCTCTCAGGGGAGAGGTGAAAAGAGGTTATGCAGAACAGACAGTGATAACAGGATGACGTCACAGGTGTGCCTCAAAGAAGCCCCCAGTGAATTCAGCTCATAACCACTCTACAGTGATTTACTCTATGCTGCCAACGCCAGCTGGAGAAGGGATGAAGAAAGCTGACACAGCCATAAGCCCTGAGCAGGCACTGTAAGATCTTTCTCCCTCCAGTCTCCTGCCAACCCCTCCCCTCTTTCAACCACTGATCCTTGCCTCAGAAGCCAAAGTGTGAACAGCACGTGTCCGGATTTCAGAAACCTGCCCAGCAGTTGGAAATTCCCCGCAGCGTGTCAATTGCTGCATCTGCTGTTGGCACTTAGGGCAAGGGATCACACGGACATTTTCTGAACATAAGCTTCAAGATGGGAGTCTTATATCTGAAGAGGGGACTAAACAAGCCAGAACACTCCAATTACAGTAAATACATTCCTAAATATGTGACAATCTGCCTTCTGAAAAGGAAACCGAGATATACAAGCAAACCAAACAGCTCTAAGAACAGCAGTAGTCAAGAACAAAAGCACAGAGTACCCTGACTAATGGAAAGGATTTTATGGGCCAACAGGGTTCACCAGATATGTAATGCAATGTAGTTGAAACAAGAGAGTAGTCTTTTCCAGATCTCTAGCTCACACCCTTGTGGCAATAAATGGCTCCTATCACTTCAGCTGCAGCCTCCCCTTCACCTCCCTAATCCTTTTACCTTTCTTCCTCACCCAATTAGCCCTCTGAGCAAGTATTTCTACATGGAACACCTCCTGGAAAAATAAAAAAATGTAAGCCCAATAATACAATGTGCCACAAGAGTAGGCTATAAATGGGCAGAAGCTGGAAAAGGAAATAATCTTTGGAAGAGCAACCTGCATGCCCTTGCCACCAGGATATAGATGCCCTTCCTGGTCACTGGTCACACTGCTCACAGGCAGAGCTAAAAAAACAAAAAAAAAAGCTTGAGTCTGATGATAAAAATAAAAAAGGAATCACAGCATCACGACATTTCCACTAGTAATATGACAGGCAGACGAGAAACCTAGATCTACTCTCCAAATGAAATACTAATTATCCTGGAAAAGATATTTTAAAAAAATTTTAGGCCAGGTGTGGTGGCTCACGCCAGTAATCCTAGCACTCTGGGAGGCCAAGACGGGAGGATTGTTTGAGCTCAGGAGTTCAGAGACTAGCCTGAGCAAGAGCAAGACCCTGTCTCTACTAAAAATAGAAGGAAATTAATTGGCCAACTAAAAATATATAGAAAAAATTAGCCAGGCATGGTGGCGCATGCCTGTAGTCCAAGTAACTCAGGAGGCTGAGGCAGAGGAACTGTTTGAGCCCAGGAGTTTGAGGTTGACACCACAGCACTCTATTTGGGCAACAGAGTGAGACTCTGTCTCAGAAAAAAAAAAAAAGTTGGTTAGGGTCCAAAGTGCAACCCATCCCACAACACACTTGGATTCCTTGTATATTCAATACATAGTATGTATCTGGCCTAAACCCCACCCCTATCCCAAGCTATACATTTAGAATTTTACTCCTGAGAAAAGCTTAAAAAGAGCTTAGAAAAGGTAGCTAAAAGACCTGCTACCAAAACTGCCTCAAATAATGTTTCTTCTTCAGAATAAATCCATCCCAGGGCAAAAAAATCAAATTGAGAAGCTATAAAATGGCAACAGAAATAAAATATATAGCTCACATTAACCACGGGGCAACAATAGGATGTTGCACTTCTACACTCTACACAAAAGCAACCATGGACACCAAACCGCATGCTAACTGGGGCAAAAACAAAGACCATTTCTTCAACTGATATGGTAAGAAGATTAATTTTATTGATATGAATTTTCTCATTTCCTTAGCCTTTCATAACTGTTTCTCCTTCCCTATCCTAAAATAATATATTCATTCAGAAAACAACAAGGACCCTGGAAATTAACAGCTGGAAAGACAGGTAGGTCCCCTGACACACTTGCTCCTTTTAACTTTTTCTTCTTTTCCAGGGAACTACAGCTAGATCCATAAGCAGAGACTGTCTTAGAAAGAGAAATCTGTACTAAGCAGCCTGTTGATAGTTATATCTCCTCCATAGGAACAGAGGACAAAGCTTAAGTATGTATCCTTCTCTGGCCTGCCTTCTAAGCCTAACTTATTCTGACCTTTGAATCTACTTCTCACAAAATTCACTGGTCATGGGGGCGCACTCTCTGTTAATTTACTCTAACCTGAGTTGTCCTGAAAAATGAAGGTCAGGTAGCACTGATTACCTGTAGAAATCTACTCATGGATCCCTGGGGAAAGAAGCCCAAGGGTTTCTACCACTAGAGATACAGAAGGAGGAATGAAAGGGACAGTTTACACAGCTAAACTCAAGCCTAACCCCTTATGAAAGGTGGATTTCCTGTACAACTGTTCTGACAAGTGGAGGATTAGGCACTTCATACATTTTGCTTGGGTAAGAGACTTAGAAGTGAATTGCCACAGGGGAGAAAACAGCTTTTCTGAAGGTCTTTAAGACTGTTGTATACTAGAAGATAAAAAAATTTTTAGACTGTCAAGAATCTATCAAGAAAAAAAAAATAAAAAAAAAAATTTTGATTGTGAACTGAGCTCAATTAGTCAACTCCCAACACAACAATGGCATGAAGCACCCCACACCTACAGGTTAAAGCTTTACCAGTCCCATAGAGACAGTAGTAGCTCTCTATCCATCTGGAGACTCACATGTGGCAGTCCCTATATCTCTTGTAATTCAGGATTACTCACATCATAAAAGGAAGCATAAATGATAATGAAAGGAATGCCAGTCTAGCTCTACCTCAATCCCAGCCCCTAAATATTCCCTAAGAGCAGGCAACACCAGCAGCACACATAAGAAGTGTCTCTTGGGTGCCCTCTTGCTGCCACCAGGGCTTTTCCGCAAAGCTGAAATGGAGGTATACTCTACGAAACTGGCAGAAAAGGAAAAGAGCAGAAAAAAGAGGGGGCCTGGGCACAGAAAAGGGAAGTTATTTCAGTGGTGGCCAATGAGTAACATCCAATGATTTATAGGAGGTATAATCCAATAATACAGTAAAATAAAACAGTGTGTGCCTGAGATGGTTTTGATTCCAAGAATTATAAAACATATTTTTTAAAAAGAGAGAACAAGATGGAGAGAGAAATGGAAGAGGAGGTGGGGGAGAAGGCCAGATTGGAGCAAATTGGGCACAGATGGGGGATGCAATGGAGTTTTAGTGATGCCCTACCACAAATGTTGCTTCAATTTTTCCTCTTCAAGAAACGTGAGTTTTATTTCCTTAAATTACATATTTTTTAAAAAATTAAAATTCTTGGAGTGCTTGTGGTTTAGATCAACAGCTCATCCTCCAGAATCACATCAGCCAATCAGATGGCTCCTGAAGTGTTAAATACTGAGGCCCTTTCTCCCTTTAGGCTCAGCAATGCCTTAGAGAGATTACCAATTGTGACATCACTCTGGGAACCACCTATCTCACCACTAGCTTTGGACATGAGCCAGGTAAGGAACACATGGCTCAATGAGAACTGGCTTTCCCAGAACTGTGGCCTTCCTTGCCCATGTACTCAATGAATACCTAGTGCCTAATAACCAGGCACTATGCCAGGGTCCCGAAATATCCCTTGTCCCATCCCTCAAATTTCTAGACTTTCTGTAGTCCCACTGAAGCAGGATTGGCATAGGGCCCATGTGAGAGGAGATAAAAGTCTCACCAATACACCTGAACCCATGAGTTTTAAGATCACTGCTGAGGCCTGAAAGTTTAGTTGGCTAAATAATGTGGCATAATTCAACCTATTTCTCCCTATGAGAAACGTGGGAAAATCTGACCTCACAACCTCTGCATCCATGAGCAAAGGGAGGGAAAACCACAACCTAGGAAAAGGGGAAAGATATCATTCTCTCACCATCATCTAAGCTTTTCCTTCTATTCTGCCTTCTGCAGTGTCCAAAGATTTTGGCAAGTTTGGAAAGTAATCACACTAAAGTGTTAGTAACAATATGATTTCCATCCCTGGACTACTGATATTGTGAAAAGAGGATAGTTATACAAGGGTAGCACTGAACAAAAAAAGAATGATGCATGACAGCATTAGAGGCATCAGCAAAGAACATACTTTTTAAGTAAGGATGTCTCTGTTGCTCCCTGAATTATACTCCTTAGGTACTGCATCTATGGGAAAGGCTCAGGTACAGATTGAGAGGATTTAGACCATAAGGATTTGGGCCATAAGATCACCTCTGCTTCAGGCTGGAATGCTCCTTCTCCAGAGTCCAGGAACTGACATATGCAAACACCCACCCAGAAGGACACGTCCAAGAAGAAATGGAAAGAAAAATGATGGCCCAGATGTTCTGTAACTTGCAGTGACTGCCAAATCACCACAGACCCCAAGCACCTGGGAGGGCCAGGCAGCATCAGGCCCTCACTTCCTGGTTTCAGGCAGCCAGGGACCCACGGCCAGGTGGTGACTCCGACAGCATGCAGACTGGCCTGGAGAGAACCTTTAGAAGGGCACAGGCTGACGGGACTTGAGGGCTGAACATGCAGGGCTGATTTATCACTTCCTTACTCATAAAAATGTGATTCAAACTGCTGCTGATTAGTGAAGGATTTAAATCTTTACCCTCTCCCCAACCCCCTTCCCTCTCCACCCCCGGCACAGATGCTGCTTCTCAGCCACAACACCCCCTTCTTGCCACTGTCCATGCAAGCACAGCACAGGGGCCCAGAGAAGATGACTCATGTGCTGGGAAATGGAAAAGTGCATCTTCCCACCAACCAGCCCTGCTGAGTGCTCTGTTCACCCCTCTCCCAATGGCAGCCCACACAGTGGGGTCTGGATGGCCGCCTCAGCTGCACACCGGGTACTTGGCAGCACGTCCACAGAGCTCTCTGTCCTAGCTGAGTGTTATATCCTGTGGCCTGGGCCGTTTTTCCCTGAAACACCCTGGAGCCTCTGACTACTTCAGCTTACAGTCTTCTTGGCCCCAACTGCCTCATGGAGGTGAGACTCAGGACAAGGTCAGTAATGAGAAGTAGGGTCTCAAGTACTGGCTTTTACACATCTTTCCTGACTAGAGGGTCCTCATTACGACCAATCATGGAAGACTCCTAGAAAAAGTACCTTGGCCTCAAATAGGGAAATGACTCTTTCTTTCTCTGTACTCACCATCTCGCCTTCCTTTCACCCATATTTTCTTAACCTTTACTTAATAGGTACAAGAAAAGGTGGCCCATGAAAAGGCCAAGATATTCCTTTTCATGAAGCAAAAGCTGCTAAAAGCAGATGCTTCACAGGTAAGAGCTGTAGGTCCTTTACATTCACACCGATAGAAGCCACAGGCCATTTGTGCTAGAAAAATACCTTGGCAGAGCCTGAAGCTCTACAACAGGCAGCTCACTGAACTCTGGGTTGTTTTTAGTGGGAGGTAGGAAAATGAACAGGAGGGCCCGTTTCCAGAGTCCAGCGAGCTTCCTACTTGACAGCAGAATGTCCCTCCCCTTTGAACTTCACATGCTTACCGGCATAGCACTTTACAAACTTTATTTCCTTTTTTGTGGAAGCCAGTGCTGCCTCTTAGGACTTCATGCTTCCTCAGAGCCATTTAAGCAAATAGCCATCTCAGGAATAATTAGCCAAGTTCCAAAAGGCCCCTAAGCCTCTGCATCTTGCCTTCTGATGAGAATTCTAAATGCTGTGGCAGCCAGCATGAGAGGAGGAAATCCTCTAGGATTCAGATCCTAGAGGGCTGAAAACCCAGGCAGACTAGGAGAGGACTGTGTAGAGTCCCAGGAGGAGCCACGTTTCAAGGGAAAGCGTGGCACACTCACTCATCAGGGAAGAAACTTCCCCACCACCAGCAAGCTGAAGCACAATCCTCAAGTACAAATGGGAAGGGAAATACATTAACCTCAGGGTAAGAGAAAGCACTAAGAAAAGGTGCAACCAGAGAACCAGCAACACTCTGTCCAGAAACGCCAGATTTGTTTTACAGCAGAGTCTCTATGGGGCAATTCCCACTTCCTGGCATCTCAATATCCTTCTTGCCCTGAGACCAAACACTCTCTGCCAATGCTCTGAAATGATTCCTTGGCAGCATGGACCAAATTTTGTTTCGCTTGCAAACAAACAACAAATAATGCTGCCCCCATGCTACATATTCTATCAAGTCAAACCACATCATCCTTCCCTAAGTGGGGCAGAGGGCAGGGAAGGGATCCTGGTAACATTTTTGGACTCTGACCTGGTCACCAGAACATTTAAAAACCCTGCCAATCTGCCCTTCCCCCCCTCTATTCCCCTCTGCCAAAAAACCCCAAAGAGTGTTCAGAAAAACATTTCAGACTGCACACCAGTATAATAGCCAAATTCAGGGCCTGGTGGCTTTTGTGCTTCCAGATTTGAATCACCAACGCTCATCAATTCTCTGTTCTTACTCCCTGGCAGGCTCCCACAAGGGATATCCCATAGGGAACTAGACTTTTCCATATTGAACAAACAGGGTACATGAGTCCTGAAACAGCTATTCCCAATCCCTGCCAAGCGTATGGTCTCTGCAATGAAACATTTCAGCAATGCCTCTCCCTTGGGAGAGGCTCTGGGTCTGCAGCCTCCAAGAGGCCTTCCTGCTGCCTTTAGAATAGCCAGATGTGCAACAGCATCTCTGCATTTGCAAATTAAGCTCTATACCCATGATTCCCTCCTTCCATCCCACCCAAGCACTAAAGAGTCATCTAGATTTCAGAGAGTAAACTCAGTATCTGAAAGGAAACGGTGAGGAGGGTTGTGTGTGTGTCTCTGTGTATGTGTATGTGTGTGTTGCAGGAGGTGGAGTGAGGTGTGGGTCGTGGTATTTGTAGCACAGAAAAGAAGCTAAATCAATCTCTGTCTAAATGAAGAAATTGGACATTCCTTACCTTTTAACTGGGAGTTGTGCACAGCAAACATGTTGATGGTCATAAGCTGCAGCATGCGGGTACTTCCAATAGGAGAGGGGCTATGCTGCAGCAATACCTGGAACTCCTTGAGGACCTTGTCAGCCACTGCAGGGAATGTCTCCATCCTGCAGATACAGAGAGCCCATCAGTGAAGCACATCCCCAAGAGCATTTGGTGTACATACATGCACGCGTGCACACACACACACATACACTCTCTCTCTCTCTCAAAGCAGACAACCAATGGCCAGGACATTTCTTTGCTACTTTCACAAACCTTCCTGGTATCCTGCAATTTTTGAACAAATTTGAGAGAAAGGAGTAAAGTTTTCAGGGTTCAGAGATGGAAATAACTCGATGTTTGGATAAATCACTGTGATTTATTATCCATTGGTATGCTATTTCCTAACCCCTGGCAGTAACTGGATTCGAGCTGATATCAAAGTTTCTCTCTGAAACCGTCAGTTTTTCTAAATAGTGAACAAATTTTCTTTAATCTCCAAACTTACATAGTCCCCAAACTGTTTGGTATGAGACTATATTCTATAAAAACAGTTACATGAATCTAAAGATTTTTTACTATAGGGTTTTTTTGTTTTTTGTTTTTTTCAGGAAAGCAGACACAGTTCTGCTGTTATCTTCTTAGGTATTATCACATTAATTGTTTCACCTAAGGATCCCAAATTTCCCCTTGAAGAATCCCTAGACCTAGAGCCCCCATGATCTGTTTCCGTCTTTCTTGTGTTACTGTCCTCCTCCCCCTCAAAAGCATCTGCTCATCAGGGTTTGTATGTTTTCAGGCCAGTAGAAATATAATGCCCTGGCCAACTGCCACTCCCAATACAGGAAGAGTCCGTAATGTAGGGAGGCAGAAATCCAGCCAGTGACCTAGGACTCCTAAGGAAAGGTCATTCGAAGCACTGCTTGCCAAATGTGGCCACTGGATCCCAAACAGTGGTGCATGCCTGGAGCTCCTTTGGCAGTAGGAGGAACAAACCACAGCTGAAGTCCTCTGAAATAAAAAGCAAGTTCAAACTTGGTGCTAGAGAGAGGAACCAGGCACATCAGCTATAGGGCCACGCTAAACAATTCATGGTCAGTAAAGTATTTTTTATCTACCCTCTCAGGCTCCCAAGCAAATACACTGCTTATGACATACTTGAGGGGTGGGAGCAGCTCTAGGCTGGACTAATAAATAGCTTCTGGAAAGTCACATGGAAGGTAATCCTCCTTAAAAGATACAAAACAGGCTGGGCGTGGTGGTTCATACCTAGCACTTTAGGAGGCCTAGGAGGCCGAGACAGGAGGATCACTTGAGCCCAGGAACTTGAGACCAGCCTGGGCAATAGCGAGACCCTGTTTCTACAAAAAATAGAAAAATGAGCCAGGCGTGGTGATGCGCGCCTATAGTTCCAGCTACTTGGGAGGCTGAGGCAGGAGGATCGCTTGAGCCCACGAGGTTGAGGTTGCTGTGAGCTATGATGACGCCACTGCACTCCAGCCCAGGCAAGAGAGTAAGACCCTGTCTCAAAAAAGAAAGATACAAAACAGTTTCATGTCCTAGAGAAAGGTGCTTCTGGTTTCACCCGAACCTTGGCCCTTCCCCAGTGAGTAGTCCCCAGATTAGAAAACTCCAGAGTTTTCTGGAATCTTGGCAATCTTCATTCTTTGCCCTTGGATGGCAACTCCTATTACTGACCCTCTGGTGCCCAGAAGTCACACCACAGCTATGGGTCAATTACAGTTTACATTCCAGTTCCCTCTCTGCTGAGCTGTCCTCATTTTCATTGGCACAAAAACATGCCATGCATTTGCTTCCCCCCCCACATGCCATTTCAAGTGCCCCCCCCCAAAACAAAACAAAACAAAACTCTTTTTTTCTGTCTAAAAAGTTTCAGAGCCGTTAAAACTCTTGGTAGATTTGGAATGGCAGAGAGTGATATGTTTGGGGCTGGATTGGATCCATTTTTCCCCATGGGCTATAACAAAGGTTTCATTTTAAATCCTGACACTGTGCAGTACTCTTTCTGGTCGGAGGTGGGGAGGGGGGCTAGCACTTCTCATTACGAGAATAGCAGAGTTTACTCTGCTTGAAAAGCAGCCACACTGGGCAAGTTTCAGAGCCATGTGTCTCCGTGTTGAAAGGCAGTAGAGAGCCAGCACAGAACGACAGGACAGAATTGTCACGTGGGACAGTCTTACTTCGAAGCTGTGTCTGAGGTAGCCTCTTCCCTGGGGTAGGAATTGAAACAAATTCATTAACACTTTCTAGGTTAGACTGAAATCTTGAACGACCACCAGGCCAAAAGTCTACATTTTCTTTTTTAAAAAGTTTTCAAAAATCCTCCCTTTGCCTTTCAACCAGTTCAACATGATAAAAAGAAAGAACAAAAAAAGCAAATGCATAAGGATATAAGTTAGAGTACTTTCAAATGCGAGGGACGTCGGATATGAGGGAAGGTGGATCTACTCAGACAAAATCAGCTTTGTTAAATAATAACTGAGAGAAGCACAGATAAGAGTTCTCCTCTGGGCTCAATAACAAGGTTTCTGGTTCCTAGTTTTATAACTAAAATGCTGTCTGATTCTGGCCCTGTAAGTAGTTTTATGTCTTTTTCTTTGAGAAATAATCTTTGCTCCACCCCATATTATAGATG